AATTCAAAGAAACAGAGTTGTCCCTGCTGGTCAGTCCCCTGAGAATTCTGGTAAGCCTGACATGCCAAAGTTGTCCAATCACTGTGTGATGGAAGTCGAGCATTGTCTATTGGGAGTTGGCTTTGGGGTTAGAGGACCAAAGCCTTGACATTACCTCTTCATTGTCTTTCATAAGAGCAGAAGGCAGGAGGAAATGCAATCTGAGTGGAAATTAACCCTTATGCAGAAATCTTGTGGAGGAAATGAGTGGCATTTTAGCCAAATTTCCTCAAATTTAGTATAAAAGGTAAACTCAGCAGCCAAACAGTGGGGCTTGGTCTTAGCCACCTTGAATGTCATAGAGTCTTGCATTCTTGCTGCGCTGCACACAGCAGGGCTGGGGGAGGGCATTCCACAGAATTGGAAGAAGAGGTTTCACCTCTGCCACCTGGCCCTCCATCGAAGACATCTCATCATGGCCTCACTGACCTTGCCAAGGACTGTGAACAGAGCCTGAACGCAGAGACCCAGAACTTAGTGTAAGGTTTCTCACATTGATGTGGGTCCAATCCATATGGGAATTCATTTCTAAAAATGTGCACTGCTGTCCTTCACTGGAAAAAGGCAGCGTTACCAGCATGTGAACTTTGGGCCTAATGCAAGTGGGAAGAAAACGAAAAATCTGCTTTTATGTACAATTGTGTACTCATAGGTGCATGTAAAATATTACATTTAAAAATTAAAGTTCCTGAGAGTAAACAAAATATAAATGCTTGTGAATTGCATTAAAAAAAAAAAAGAAAGAAAAAGAAAAAACCTCTGACATGAGTGTTTATCTAGGAAAGATGATAGAGATCTGAGATTTCCTTAAATGGAAGGCCATGGAATTCTACTATGTCTGAAGAATCTTTTGTGGCAGCCTCCACTTCTACAAGTGATTCAACACTACAATACCATTTATGAAGCTTTACAGGAGAGTGCCCTTGAATGCACAGATATACCACATTTTAAGTACAAGGGTTTATTTGTTTTTCTTAATCTTGTGTTCTTCCCTCTGAATGCTAAGTAAAAGAAACATTTTTGATAAGTCTGGAAGATAATGTTAAATTAAATATTCANTCTCATTTATTTGTGGGAGCTAAAAATAAATAAATAAATACACAAATAAACTGGGGGTGGGGGAAGGAAGAAGACACAACAATCACAATTCCTGAAGTTGATACAACAGGTGAATGGATAGGAGGCTGTTGGGAGGGAGGGGGGAGGGAGGTTTTGGTAATGGGTCATGATAATCAACCACATTTTATACTGACAAAATAAAATAAAATTAAGATAATAATAATAAATAAATAAATAAAAATAAATTAAAGTTTTATAAAAGACAAGCTGTGGCAGGGATTGTAAGACTACAGTTTCATGATGCCTTTAGATTCTACTTCTTTCTCCATTGTTTCCAGTGCTATATGACCCAAGTAATGCACAAGATTAGAATAATTCATTCTCAAGTATTTGTTTCCTAGTTAAGGAAATTGGGAAAATTTTGAATTTAATATTTCATTTAAATTTAATGATAAAAATGACATTAGGTGGACTACTACCCAATGAACTCCATTTTGATTGGAAATTCAAAGAAACAGAGTTGTCCCTGCTGGTCAGTCCCCTGAGAATTCTGGTAAGCCTGACNAAGGCGTTTACACTGAGTGCTTATTAGCTTCAGCTTGGACACTGCAGAACTATGCACTACTGATGACAGTGGCCCACACTAATTTTAAGTTAGATGGTCACGGACACATAGGCTGGAATAAATGAGTAAGCCAGCCAAGCACATGGTTCATAGCAGTTTTTCTCCTTGTCTTTGATAATTTGATTTTTCCTCATTTCCACATAGTTTCTTTCTTTTTTCAAATTATTTTTCTGTAGGCCCACTAAAGTAATTCCCCAAAATCT